CTTCAGAACTGTTTTGAGAAGGTGCTTAAGTTTTGAGCCATGTATTATTACTCTAAATTGGGCTACTACTACTATTACTATCTTGTCCCCTGCAATAATCATTTGCTCAAACTCACTTTTATGAGACGAATGAAAAAAAAAAAAGAAAATCGGCCAAACATATCGGCCAAAAAATCGGCATCATATATCGGCCATCGGCTGCCCTGATTTCTAAATTCATTCATCAGCATCGGCCAGTGAAAAACCCATATCGGTCCACCTCTAATCTGAAGAAGCTTCTTTCACCACAAAGAACCTTTTGTGAAACAGAAAGGTTCTTCAGATGTTAAAGGTTCTTTATGGAACCATTTAGACAAAAAGGTTCTTCTATGGCATCGTGAAGCACCTTTATTTTTAAGAGTGTATACAACACTTATTATTTTGTAAAATATGCCTGATTTTCAGATTAAAATCACCAGGACAGTATCAGTACAGCATCAGGTTGGATAAAACATAACGTAGAAATGTTTTTTTTTGTTTGTTTTTTTTTTGGACATGGTGTAGTAATAAATTTTTTTAAATCTTTTTTTTATTTTGTTTAAAAAGATACACAGTTAACTTAATAATTATACTATATTTATTTTAGCTTTAGTACAAGTTTTTAGTTTGTATTTTATTTTTTATTTAATTTTGTTTTATTTTGACCCATTCCTAATTCAATACATAGCTTATACATTAAAATATCACAGATTTTCAGATTAAAATAACTTTAAATGCACAATAGGCATGTGATCTGATTTCATCAAACATAATGCAACATTATAACATTTTTATTTGATCTTTGTTTGATCCTTTTATTGTGTTTTTGTTAATCTGAATATAATAATGCATATTTTGTTTTTAAAAATAGTATGTGAAATTAGAGCTGGACAATAATTCAATATCAATATGTATCGCAATATAATTTAGGATGCTTAAAATTGATCAAAAGTGATGATAAAGGCATTTATAATGTTACAAAAGATTTCTATTTCAGATAAATAGTGTTCATATCGATATCGGAATTATATCGTATCGACCGAAATTAAGAAATATACCGTGATATCAATTTTGGCCATATCGTCCAGCCCTATGTGAAATATTATGCATTATTTCATAATGTGCATTCTGCAAATCTTTTGCCAATGCTAGTTCCTAAAAAGTTCCTATACCATTAATTGTCAAAGACACACAAGTTCCTCTCTCCTCATGTTTCCTGTATCCATCCACCTCAATGTCCATCTGTAAATGTCTGACTGAAATCTGTTGGTGTGTCCTTGCAGGCAAATGAAAGACCAAAGCAAGAAGGTTGCCAACCTGAAGCACAAAGAGCAGGTGGAGAAGAACAAGAACGCTCAGTTGATGGAAGAGGCTCGTAAGCGAGAGGATAACATGAACGAGAGCTCTCAACAGATCAAGGTAAAGTCCACATGACATTTATTTACTTTATTCACAGTTATGTACAGTTCTTGAGTCCATTCCGGATCAGACTTTACTCATATAATGTTGCCTAATTGAAATGCAGGATAAATCCCTGTGCCTTGCAATGGATTTCAAGCAAGGGTTTTACACACAAAACCACTGAAATCTGACTAGAGCAGTGGCTGTTATAGTCTTAACATTGAAACTTAACCCATAATGAGGCCCATCAACCTTTTAAGAGGGTCAAAGTCCCCCCAAAACCATGATTTATTCACAAAAGCTCAATCTTTTGTGCAGCGTTCAAAGGTTTTTTTTTTGCGCTGCCTAGAAATGTGTCTCCTCAGAGCGATCCATCTTCTGATTATATAAGCTTGGATCTCAGCTCCGGTTCCTCATTTGAGAATTGCTGGGATTCTTCTCAGGTAAAGAGCGATCTCATGTTTCCCTCATCCAGACCGCATTCACGCACATCCTGACCTCGTGTCCTCCTCTCATTGTGAGCTTTGGATTTTGGGAAAAGAGAAAAGGAGAGAATAATTGAACGATGAAATAAGACACAGTTGTTCAGTGCAACCGCAGGAACTATTTTTGAATTTATGGCTCCACGATATTGAAGCAGAAGCATCGGTATCCAGGTATTGGCGTGTTTAGTTTGAACTGATTTGCAAATACAAACTACCTCATCCAGACTGATGTAACTTTCATCATATTGACTGTTTTTGCCCCGATTTGACAGGATGGTGGTCTGTGGTGGCCGCTCCCGCCCTTCTAGAGTGAGGGTTCAAATAGAAAGCCAGAATCAGCAGTTAATGTCTGTGAGAATCTCAGCGCAAAAAGTCCCTCTTTTTATGGAGGGGCTGCTTTTCCTCTTTGCCGTAGACCTCTGGACAACAATGCCACAGCGGCCCTCCCTTTGTTGTGGTTTTCTGTGTTTTTCCTGGCCGTCGGTTTGTTCTTTCGATCATTCTCCGTTTTCACATTTTCCTTGTACTGTGTCATGTGTTCTTTGTTTTCGTTCGAGTTCATATGCTCTTTTTCTGACAGCAGGATTGATGTGCTATTGGACCTCAACCTGTGGTACCCTGCGACTGGTGCGTCGGTGTGTGCGTGTGCACAAATACGTGTTGCGGTCAAAGAGAGCTCATTTATGACTTCAGGGCCCCAGCATCCTCCGTGGGGTCACGTTGCCGCAAGCCCACATTGAGGCTTGCGCTCCCCCTTTCGAAGCACCCTGATGCGGCTGCATCGCGGGCCTCGTCTGGAAGCGGCGACAGCTGCTTCCTTCAGCCAAGACCTTCAACCACCACCTTCCCCCACAGGCACGTCACGATCCGGCCTTGAGGCCCTGAGACTCCAGATCAGACGAACCCCGAGCTGTCTCCACACTTTATTGGACGTGTTTGGAAGGGAAACCGATTGTTGTAGATGATTTGGTATGGTTACGGTGGTCCCGCTCCAATCGGTTGGTCAGGGTGAGCTGAGAGAGAGGTTAGTCCAGGACACCAGAGCAGTCGTCTCTCTCTGACCCGGCACTAAAAATGGCTTTTTCAATCAATGAAGAAGGTTTCCATTGGAGCCCTGAGTGGGACGTGGGGTGGTCGGTTGTGGTTGTGCACCAGAACTGCACAAACACATTCAGAATAGCAACTGTTGACATTGGAGAAGGTTAGATGGTCAGAAAGGAAGGACTCTTGCTTCTATTTTTTTTTTTTAGTTTCCTGCTGGTGGCGTTGTGCTGCTTTCACATGATTTGATCCAATCATTCCTCTAGTGGTGCTTTCATAGGCAAGCATCGCTGTAACTTCCAACAAACACGTAGACCTTACTGTTAAACTTTGGTGTGTAATGCGTGCTATTGACATGATTCATACCTCAAATTGGGCTTGAACTGAATTGGCCTTAACACGCAGGAAGTTGAACTGAAATTGGAATGCAGGAAGTGGAAATGACTAAACTGCAATGCTAAGAAATACAACACAGGTAATGCATTCTGGGAAATGAAGTGGTGTTCAGCAATCTGTTTGTCTGTAAGTCCTATAAAACCTTCAAGACTTAAAAAATAAAAAAAATGGACCAACTTTCATTCTAAAATTTCTTTAAAATTGTTACATTCTTTTTGAACAATACTTATTAGGGTTGTATGAATTTTTGAGAATTTAAATTAAAATTCAACTCTTTTTTTCTTTTTTCTTTTTTGCAACCTCATTTGAAATTTAATTCAAATTCAATAATGGATTTGGAATGAAAAACACTGTGAAACAAATTTTTATAAATGTTTTGTTTTGCTTTTATTTTTAATGTTTCTTTATAAAGTTTGATATGCTAAATATGAAAATCACATTAATTTTTGTGAGTCATTAACAGTGCTCATGAAAAAAGACTGTAGAAGCTAATCTGTTATTACTCATGCATAAAAATTACATGGTACATGCATAATACTGATCTAACATAACATAACATAAACAGTTACCAAAAGTGAGTCGTCCAAAACTTTATACATGAGCATTGGATGATTTTTGCCTTTTATGACTAGTCCCACTGTGTTCTGGAATGTTCCAGATATCACTAGAGTTTTTCAGCATGTTACAGAAACTTCTATAATATTTCCATCCTTGCAAAAGCAAAAACAACAACAAAAAAAACCATGCAAAATTAGTACAAAACCCATCTGTAATAAACCAGTGTTTCATAATTAATGATAGTTAAAATTTCTAAAATTTACCTGACCTAAATATTTACTAAAATATTGATGCTACGATAATAATAATCAGCCCCACAGAATTTTATTTATTTATTTTTTTACATTATTTAATCATTTTTAATTCATTTCTGAATTGCTCATTGGTAACCAACCCCGACCCTAACCTTGGGCCTACTAACAACTACCAAAAAACCCTAGAGACCAAATAATACACCAGATAGCAACGTGCTATTCACTACTTTGCTAAATCTTGGTAGTGACTTTTTAATGGGCAAGTATCAAAATGGTCAACGTCTAGTTAATTAAGATTAGCTGTTAGTTTCCATAAGATGAACAAATGGGGCGCAGAGAATTGCAATGCAAGAGAAGGTCTTTGATCAACGGCCCTCAAGAGCGTGACTTTAACCTCTTGTGAATCATCCCTATCCTTTTTCATTTATCTCTCTAGTCTGATAAAACTGGAGATGGGTTTTTATAGGCGTCCACATCTCTTCAGCGTTTGAGACTTTTTCCGCCGGATACAGAGTTCCCAGAGGTGCAATACGTACTGAATCATCAAAACGTACCCCCACCCCCACCTCTCCCGCTGATCAAATATCATCAGCCTGAAGAAATCAAGACTTTCGCTGGGAAGCAGGATAGAGAGAGACAGCGGGGGAGAAAAGATGACATTATAATGAAGCCCAGTAAATACCTGTTTTACTGCGTGGTTGAGTCTGTTCCCTTTTACTGCACAGAGTGCAGTGCCAAATGCTCTGACTCCCAGCATGCCCTGTGACCAGAAGGCCCCACTGTATCCCAATCTCCACCTTGACCGGCCTTCATCAAAGACAGATACAATGGAAAAATTGAAAGAGAGAGTTGGAAAGAAAATAGAAAGGTCAAAGAATGGAAAGGTGCATCCAGTCAGCATGCTTCAGTTCAGAAAGGGTGAACATATTCTGCCACATACTTTGTGCAATCATCAAAGCAAGCACAGAAATGGGTTTCCCCCACAGGTGCAATGTGTGCACTATTCCAGAGAAGCCATTAGACTGAAGCCGGAGCGCTGCACATTACGAATAGCAGTTGTAAGCCATATGGTCTTCTGTTTATAAGTCTCGCAGCCCCTTTTATGTTTGGCACAATGTGCTCTCGTGTGGTTGTAAACATCAGCACTCAAATGCAGAGAGCTTAGAGTGACACCTTTAGTGTGCAATTGTGGAACAGTATTTTATAACATTTGTCGAGTTAGGGATCATGCTGCTAAGTGCTCTTACAAGCACCGGTGGTCTTTTTTTATTCTGCATGTAAGTTTGTGCACGGTTAAGAAAGACTGAATATATATGCACCGCAGGTTGGTTTATCTTCATGCTTTTTATTTTATTTTATTTTAATTTTAAATTTTTTTAACAGCAGGGGATTCCTAAATGTCTGTCAAAAAAAAATCTAGAGAAAAATCTAGTGAAACTAGTCAACCTCAGTAATTAACCATCCTTGACCCATCCTAAACTAACACATTATATAAAGATTTATGTAACAGGTACACATCTGCAATCATGCAGCCTCTCGTTGGTCTTTCTCCTTGTGTTCACATTTGCAGGCAAATGAAAAGATCTGACAGGTGATGGCGACACACTGGAGTTAATAAAGCCAAAGTGCTGCAGGCAAATCGCAGGTTTATGGTCCTTTTTAAACACGCAGATATAAAAGAGTCAAACAGGAGCCTTTTATGACTCGCTGGCCTGCCCACGCTGCTTTTATTGAGGGGGAACATATTACTGTCCCTGGGGGGAGGCCTTTTTTCATCCTAAATGTCATTTTCTCAACCTGCCATAACAGACTGGTTGAAGTGCAACATCCAGGATCCATTAGGAAGCTATAGTTGGCACAGGACAGTCTTAGGAAATGGGATTCAGTGGGTTGGGTGAGCATACCTGGTTTGTTAGTTTTAGCTGGTGCTCCGTTTTGTTCTTTTTTCTTTGAGGTTTTTGTTTGGGCTTTTTTGTTTTGTTTTGAGTCTTGTTTTGTTTTTTGTCGTTTTCAGTTTTTTTTAAATTAGTTTTGGGTATTTTTGTTTTGTTCTTTTTTTACATTTTGTTTTAGTTTTGTTTTGTGTTGCTTTAAGGTTTTTGTTTGGCTTTTGTTTTGTTTTGGGTCTTTTGTGTTTTTTAGCTTTTTTTTTGGTTTTGGGTATTTTTGTTTTGTTTTGGGTCTTCATTTGTTTCTTTGGCTTTTTTGTTCTGTTATGTGTTTTGGAGACATTAAAATGGCAGACCAGCTTTAACCAGCTAAAACCTGCAAGCCTGGCTGTTTT